TGCAATCCCTTCTCCTCCATTCTCCTCTTGGATTTTGGGCATGCACGTACATGCACCTGACATGACTTTAAGCCACCAGGCCCAGGACTTGAACTGGGACCCAGCAATGTAACCATTATGCCATCTGCTGGTTCCAATAATTTTTTAAAAATAGGTATTTGAATATTCTTCTTTGTGAAGTGCCAGTTGAAGTCTTTTACCCACTTCTTTTTTGGGTTGTCTACCTTCATCCTGTGATTTTTTTTTTTTTTGCCACTTTTTAAAAACAGGACTTTTAACCACACAGTCTCTCATGCCTCCTCACTCTCCAAACCCTACTATAAAATCATAGCTACTGGGACCAGCAGTTAGTGTAATGGCTATGGCACTGGACTCCCATGTAGTCGACCACAGTTCAAGGCCTGGACCTGGTGGCTTAAACTCCCGCTGGGCACGTGTGTGTGCATGCGTGCTCAAGATCCCTAGAGGAGAATGAAGGAGAAGGGATTGCAGCATGGCCATCCCCCCTGGGGGTTGATTTCTCGCTTTCTCTCTGTCTCTCTGGAGGGCGCACGCGCCCTATAGCAAAAACCTCTCCCCCCAAAAAAAAAAAAAATCATAGCTACCTTGTACGAAGGGGCTTTTCATGGTTTATCTCATGTATTAAGTAACAATTTTTATCCTCATTTTCAGAGGAAATGGTTGAGGCTCAGAGAGGCTGAGCAGTTGGTCCAAGGTGCTGCCACTGGTCAGAAGCAGAGCCAGGACTGGAACCGCCAGGTCCAGGACTCTAACTGTGGTCTACTTCATGGGAGTCCAGCCATGTAACCATCATGCCATCTGCTACTCACCAAATGACCATTTTTAAAATTATTTATTTTATTTATTAGTAGAATTCGTATTTTTTACATTTTCTGTAGGGCATGCCGTGGCTGTGCTGCTGACCGCTGCACACCTTGCTTCACGGTAATTGTCAGGCTGCGCCTGGTCCCATAGCTAAATTATCACCCACCCCCTCTGACTGTCCACACCCACTCTCCTTCTTCAATTCTATTCTTTTTTATTATTATTATTTCAGAGAGGTTTTTGCTATAGGGCATGTGTGCTCACCAGACAGACAGAGAGAGAGACAGAGAGACAGAAAGTGAGAAATCACCCCCCCACAGGGGATGGCCACACCGCAATCCCTTCTCCTCTGTTCTCCTCCCAGGATCTTGGGCATGCACACACACGTGCCCCGCGTGAGTTTTAAGCCACCAGGTCTGGGACGCGAACCGCAGTAGACTACATGGGAGTCCAGCGACATAGCCATTACGCTAACTGCTGGTCCCTTCAATTCTATTCTTATCACTAGCATACGATGTCATTTTACTTACTCTATTATCTTTCTTCCCAACTAGAATCTAAACAGAGAAAGCAGGGATTTTTGTCAGATTTGTGTGCCCCAACTCCTATAGAGTTCCCGGTACATAATACTAAACCTTTTCAATGAATGCATAAGCACTCACAAATTCTAGGGTATGGACATACCAAGATATCTGTATGTATTTTCTCGAGCTACAGCTTTTAAACTTCTTCTCTCTCTCTCTCTCTCTGTCTCTCTCAGGATTCCCTCTCTCTTTCCAGTCCCGGGCTCAACTCTGCCATTTCCTTACCATGTGCATCTTCACATGCACCGCCCAGCATGCAGCCATCAACCAGGGTCAGGTATGGACAGCTGAAAGCCTGGGGCCCTGAGGGCATATGTCTGGACTGAAAGACGCAAGGGGTGAGGTGGGAGCTAGCATCCTGAAGTCAGATTTCTGGCTAACCTCACATTCCCCTTCCTCTAGTTCGACTGGTATTCCTGGGTCCCTAATGGCCCATGCTCCATGCGAATGCCCCCACCCACTACCAAGGAAAGCGTGACAATGGACACAGTGATGAGGTCCCTGCCTGATGTCTGGAAGGCCTGTCTTCAAATGACTGCCTGCTGGCTCCTGAGCCGCCGGCAGCCAGACATGGTGAGACCTCCGAACCCTGGGGGCACCGGCTGGGGAAAAGACATCAGAGTGAGGGGCTGTATTCTGGGTCCCTCTGTCTTGGAACCAGGAGCTAATTCATCTTTCTACCTCAGGTGGTCCTAGGACATCACAAAGAAGAATATTTCTCAGGTCCTGAGCCCAAGGCTGTGCTAAGACAATTCCAGAAAGATCTGTACGACCTCGAAAGGGAAATTGGGGCCCGGAATGAGCAACTAGACCTTCCCTATGAATATCTGAAGCCCAGCTGCATAGAAAACAGTGTCACTATCTGAACCCCAATGTGTTCATGCTGTAAAGACTTTAGGCCATCAATACAAATAATACTACCTGCCTAAGTGTTGTTTTCTCGGGTCTCAGTTGTCATGGTTCTATTTTCTCCTCTGAGTTCCCTACCGAGGCTCTGTCCTTACTCCAGATACCATATGAGAGCAATCTATAAATTGGAACCACAATTCCTTAGCAAAAATCAACTTTCTACTCTTGTGGGGATTTTGTTGTTGTTGTTTGGGGTTTCTTAGAGAGAATTTTGCTACAGGACTTGTGCGCTTGCTGGAGACGCAGAGACAAAGAGACAGAAAGTGAGAAATCCTTTCTCCTCCATTCTTCTCTCAGGATTTTGAGCATGTATGCACACATTCCCGGCGTGAGTTTTAAGCTGCCATGTTTAAATTGCTGTCAACTATGTGGGATTCAGCGACGTAACCATTACAGCATCTTCTGGTCCCTCAACTTTCTACTCTTACAGCTTTCTTCTGACCCTGGAAATGTGCCTTCTTCATTTACTGGATCATCAGAAAAGTCATGATACATTTTTGCATAGAAAAATATGCCATGACTTTCCCAATGACCCAATATTATATAATGTGGGGAATTTTTTTATAGACTATGATACAGAGGTCTAATTCCCTTTTCCACCTATTGGGTGACTAGAAAAGTCATGATGCATCTTTACATAGAAAGACATGCCATGAATTTTCTAACAACCCAATAAATAATCAGTTACTCCAGCACTGTTAATTGAAAAACTCATCCTTCCCCACTAATCTATAGTGCTGATATAAATCAAGTAACTACATATGCATGAACTACTTGTGAACTGTCAATTCTACTTCACTCATCAATTTACCTTCCGCTGTACCACACTGACATGATTACTACTTTGAACCTCATACAGCCTGCTATTTGAGAGGACATACTCATTGCTCTGCTCTTTAGAGGTGCTTTGGCATTTCTGGACATACAAATATTAGAATTTGTGAAGTTCCACAAATAAAGCTTGTTATAATTGTAAATGGAATTGGATTGCATCTATATACAATTTTAATCTTAAGCCAGTTTGCATTTTTGAGAGATATCCAATGGGATCCTTTTGCTCTTTGTTTACATACTTTGTGTCTGTACTCATGAGTAAGACTGCCCATGGAGCATTGGTGGCCTACAGAGGGGTAATATCAAGAAATCATCTCAGGGCAGCAGGTAGTGTGGTAGTTAAAGTACTGGACTCCTATGTGCCAACTATAGTTCAAGTCCTGGACCCAGTGCCTTGAAAATCATGCTAGGCACATGGGTTTGCATGCCCAAAATCCCAATAAGAGAATGTAGGAGAAGGGACTGCAGTGTAGCCACCCCCCTGCGGGGTAATTTCTCCCTTTCCCTCTTACTGTCTCTGTTGCTCTCCAGTGAGTACACACACCTATGACAAAAACTTTTTAAAAATAAATTTAAAAAACTAAATCATATCAAAATTATTTGTTAAGATAATAGGGGGAAGTCATCAGGTGGCATAGTGGTTAAGGCGGTGGACTCCCACATAGCCAACCATAGTTTGAGTCCCAGACTGAGCAGTTTGAAACTCATGCCAGGCACAAGAGCATGCACACCTAAAGTCCTAAGAGGAGAATGGAAGAGAAGGGACTGTGGTGTGGCCATCCCCCCTGAGTGGTGATTTCTCACTTTCTCTTTCTCTGTCTCTCCAGTGAGCTCATGCACCCTATAGCAAAAATCTCTCTACCAAAAAAAAAAAAAAAAGACAATTGGGAAAAATATGATTCTGTCACTAGAGATGTATTTATCCCAAAGAAAATCTCTAGTAAATTAGAAATAAAGAACATCTTCTTTAATATGACAAAGAATATATATCATAATATACTGAAAATATTGTGTTAACCAAAACCATCGCACAAAATTAGGCCCCGAAGAAAGATCACCATTATCACCACCATTAGGCCATATTTTTTTTTTTTTGAGAAAATTTAGTTAGTTCCATAGAAAAGGAAAAGAGATATTTAAATTTAAGAAAACAAATAACAAAACAGTCATTATCTGAGAGGATAGTTATATTCCTATAAACTCCAAGAAATTCAAAAATTATTAGAACTAATGAGATAGGCTACTTTTATAGAAAAAGGATTATAAAATAGTTTTTCTACAGGACATACACATGCAAAGGAATGAAACTAGACCTCTATCTCTTACCATATTCAAAAATCACCTCAAAATGTTTCAAAGGTTTAAATATAAGACACAAAATTATGAAACTACTAGAAGAAAACAAAGGAGAAGGGCTTCATAACATTGGTTCAGGCAAACTGTTTTTTGGGGGGAGAGAATTTTGTTATAGGGTGCATACGCTCAGAAAGACAGACAGACAGATAGATAGAAAGTGAGAAATCACCCCCCAGAGGGGATGGCCACGCCGAAATCCCTTCTCCTCCATTCTCCTCCATTCTCTTCTCAGGATCTTGGGCACACACGCACACACGCCCAGTGTGAGTTTAAGCCACTGGGTCCAGGACTCGAACCACAATCAACTACATGGGAGTCCAGTGACATAGCCATTATGCCAACTGTTGGTCCCAAGGCAAACAGTTTTAAAATAAAATGTCAAGGTCACAGGTAATATCTTTTAAAATAAACAATATAATAGGATTATATCAACCTATAAAACTTCTGCATAGCAAAAGAAACAAGCAACATAGTGGAGACAAGTCATAGAATAGAATAAAACATTTGCACACAATACATCCAACAAGGGATTAATTAGAATATATAAGGAGCTCCAACAAATCAGAGGCAAGCAAGAAAACCTAATTAACCCAGTTTAAAAACTGGCAAGAGGCCTGAATAGTCAGTTCGCAAAAGAAGGCATACAAATGACCAACAAGCAATATGAAAAACTCGACATCACTAATCACCAGAGAAATGCAAATTAAAACACAATGAGATATCATCTCTCCCCAACTGGAATGGCTATCATCAAAAAGACAAATAACAATAACATATGCTGGCACGGATATGGAGAAAAGAGAACTCTTTTACACTGTTGGTGGGAATTTAAACTAATACAGTCATTAAGGTAAACAGTGTGGCAGTTCCTCAAAATACTGAAAATAGGGACCAGTAGAAGGCATAAAGTTTACATCATTGGACTCCCACATAGTCGACTGTGATTTGAGTCTCAAACTCGATGGCTTAAACCTCATACCGGGCACATGGGCGTGCATGCCCAAAGTCCCAAGAGAAGACTAGAAGGGAAGGGATTGCAGCATGGCCATACCCTCTGCAGGGGGATCGCTCACTTTCTGTCTCTCTGCCTCTCTCTGTGTCTCTGGCAAGTGCACACACCCTATAGCAAAAAAAAAAAAAAAAAAAAAATCCTGAAAATAGAGTGGCTTGATGGCTGATTAGAGAGACGCAAAGCTCATCTCTTCCACAAAGCAGGAACAAAATGATAAATAATTAAGCGCTCTCCAAACCAAGTGCCTGATGAAGAGCACCAGAATTTAGCAGGGAAATTAAAAAACAGAACTATCTTACATTGCACTAATACCACTACTGAGTATATACCCAAAGATTAGGAAATCAATATTTCAAAGAGATATCTGCACTTCCATGTTTATTGAAGCACTAGTCACAATAGCTGAGACAGAATCACGAAGTCCCCAGTGACTGGGGACTAGGTAAAGTGTGGTGCACATACATAACAGAGTACATTTCAGCCATCCAAAAGGCCATTGGAGACAAAATGGATGAAACTGTAAGAAATAATGCTAAGTAAAATAAGCAGTCTCTCAAAGACAGATACCATTATGTTCTCACTCATTAGTAGAAGTTAAAGATTGGATTGCACAAAAATAAGAATGTAATGGTAGTGGCCAGAGGCTGAAAAGGGGAGAGGGGTGAGGATGATGGGGAAAACTCGGTTAGCACATACAAGTGCACACGTGAACAAGTGGAATGGGTTATAGAACATCATAGCACAGTAGAGTAAAAAACACTGGTGATAATTCAATATATATTTAATTTTTTAAAAAAGAATTATTTAATTCTTAAATGTATTATTATTTTAACTTGCTAGAGGGCATATGTGCTCACCAGAGAGAGAGAGAGAGGAAAAGCGAGAAAGCAAGCCACGAGGTCCTGGACTTGAACGGCATTCGGTCATGTATGGACTCAGGAGTCAGACTATTTGACTCAAGTCTGATTATAGTGTATAGCCACCCAAAAAAAGTGTATAAAGAATAAATGCACTTCTTGGGGCTGGCACATGGTGTGGTGGTTAAGGTGTTGGACACCATATGGCCAATGGCAGTTTGAGTTCCAGTCCTGGTGGCTTGCTTTCTCACTTTCCCTTTCTCTCTCTTTCTCTGATTCTCTTTGGTGAGCACATGTGCCCAGTAGCAAAATTTAAAAATATGGGGCCAGCAGGTGGCATGGTGGTTAAAGGCGCTGGACTCCCACATGGCTGACCATGGTTCAAGTCCCACACCTGGTTGGTGGCTTACTTTCTCACTTTCTCTCTCTCTCTCTCTCTCTGGTTCAAAATTGGAAAATGATAGCAATAGTAAATAAAGTTAAAATAAAATAATTCTAAAATAAATAAATAATATAATAATGATGATGATGATGATCAATAAAATTCAATAAATAATTCTTTAATTAAGAAAAAAAAAGAATGTATTCACTTCCCTGAATCACAGATCGGGCTCCACTAAGTGTGTCTTAGCAAAGTGGCAGTGTACAAAATCAACACAGTTGTATTTCCACATTCTACATAATCCATTGGCTTTTCCTGGCCTCCAGCTCTCAGAAGCAGAGAGCCGGACTTCTCAGCCTCTGTAACTGGAACCCCTCATATTAAATGTATTCTGGAGTACTTTGACTACCACAGAGTGAGCTGGTTCTCAACAGATGACTCTGATGTTGTGGGCATTAGGAGAGATATGACCTTGGGGCCAGCAGGTGGTGTGGTGGTTAAGGGCGCTAGACTCCC